TTCTTTCAAGTAACACCTGCTTACATTGCTTCACCAAAAGAGGGAACAACAGACTAAAAAGGAACTTTTTTCTGCATGATAGTTAACAGAGTTACAGTAACTTATTTGCATCATTATTTACCAATGAACAAAGAGCATGCCAACATCATTAGATTCTAGGGATGTAACGATATACCGAATACCGCGGTATCGCGGTAATGAAACGGCTCAATACCGTCGTGAGACTGAAAAAATCTACNGGGGGGGGCGTGAGAGACCAGGAGGAAAAATGGTTATTACAAAAAAAAACATAATTTGAAAAATTATTGATTCGAAAATAATATGATACAGTACTATTAGTAATAGTACTGTATCATATTATTTTCGAATCAATAATTTTTCAAATTATGTTTTTTTTTGTAATAACCATTTTTCCTCCTGGTCTCTCACGCCCCCCCCCTGTCATGCCTCTGCGCCCCCCACTTTGGGAACCACTGTGTTAACCAATGGAAGCGGGAGTCTGCAGTATCACAAATACTTTTCTCATATTTTACCTTAACCAAATATTGCGCATACTGAGATTTAAATATTGCAACTGGCCATATTGCCATTTCAAAAATGTTTTAATTGTGCAAGCCTACTTCTGAATATTTGTAAAGATCCTGGATACATTTAAGATTAAAATACGATTCTGAGAAATTTGGAGGGCGGAGGGGGTTATAATTATTTTGGCTAACACTCTCCTTTTTAGACATTATATAATAGCCATCATTCCTAAATCGGAAATTAAGTTTCATTCATTTAATTAAACTGTAGTTAATAGTTAAAAAACAATAACATTATATCTAATAAAGTTAACCCATTATTAGTCCTGCCATGATTAATGTCATTTTAACATTCTTTAGTATGATAAGAAATCGTTTTGATAGTATGTATAAAAGCTGACAAAATGACATTCTGAGCTCAATGTGACTATTCATAAACATTATATTGTTGCACATATTATAACATTTTATTTACTATATTGAGTATTTGTTAATGATATAAAATGATTTGTAAGCCGTTTAGAATAAACATTGGATAAGTACAGGGACCAGACATTGTTCTTAACCATCGACATAATCATTAAAATATTTTTTGTAGAGCTTTTCAAGTACAAGTACTTTTTTAATCATTTAACTTTTCAGTTGCAAATTTATAATTGTCATGTAAATATTGTTGTAGATTTGCGGAATAAAATGTTATTAAGTGTGCAACAAAAAACGGTTAAAATAACAAGCTATAGCATTACACATTATCCTTTTTCATTCGTTTTCATTCATTGTTAACAGTTAAAGTAAGAACATGTGTTTAGCATTTATGAACAATGGTTATTATTAAGTGTTACCTACATTTTAATCCCTTAAAATTAGTATATACATTTTACTAAATACAAAGCTATGAATTATTTAACATGTCTTTGATCCACGATCATTGTGTTTAAAAAACGTGTCAAAGAGGGAGCTGATGATAGAATTCATTTTGACTAACTAAAAGTGTTCAATCGCTCTCTTCCCTCCCATGGACCCTCATGAACCTTTATTGCTGATACAAGAAGTGCTTCTCAATATGAGTTAGGGTTTTTGAAAGTTATTTTCCGGTAAATAGCTGCAGGGTTTTTATGCTGATATCCTGTTTTATAAGCCACTGAAGTGGCATTTAAACCATCATGGGAAACTAAATCCCTCCACTGAAACCAAGGATTTCCTTTGGGCGTTTTTTTATTGCAAGTTTTAGAGAGCCTTTAAAGCTAACAAAATACTTTCAAATCCCATTGGACTATACCTGGTCACAGCTTTTTGATAAACACAATAGAGATGAAACACACTCCAAGTATTACCAACAAGGCCAACACACTGACAGATCGTAAAACTCTTCCTGACTTAAAATTTGAGTTTGATTTGAAGCACTCTGACCCTCTAACATGGCTGCCTGTTGACTCTACCTGATCTGGTGCTTGCTGATGTCCTCCATGGTGAAGGAGGAGTACTCCCTGAGCTCCTGGTGCTCCTGCTGGGAATGGCTCCTGGTCAGCAGGCCGTACATCGGCACCGACACCAACTGGATCTGAATCTGGTTATCTGGGGACGTGTTGTCCTATGAGAGAAAAAACCACGTCAAAGCTACAAGTTTGAAGAACTGTTCATTTCTGTCTCTGCCCTGCATTAAGGGCAAAACAAGTACACTTTTCTTAACACATATTAGTGTTATCCTCAACTCATTTCAACAGCAAAACAAACAGATAGGTGTTCTAGTTCTAGTTAAGTTTTAGTTTCAATACAAATAGTGAAGAAAGAAAAAGAGTGCTTGTTTGCTAAGCTTGACCCAGGAGATGAACATGTGAATCCTGCTAAAAGAAAGTTTAGCACAGATCTATATATTCACACATTTAAAATGACACATGATTTCCTGTATCTACAGTAAAGACATCTTTAATCATCAAAGATAAATATTGCTGACTCATGCTTTACATGCTTCGACTGGGCTTCACTAGCTTCTTCTCCCAAAACAGCATGAAATAGCATCTTAACAAACTAATTGATATAGAGAGGAATGGAAACAGGATAACCCTAACCCTAACCCCATCAAATAAATGCAAATAAATGTATACTGTACTAACTAGAAGAGGCTAACAGCTAAAGCTAGCATCGGTCTCCTGTTAACTCACAGTGTAAGCCAGGTGTGAGCGCCTGATCACGGTGCTGCTCTTCTGGCCCACTTCCAAAGACAGCGTGGCTGCTGGGTCCCGCTGCGGCCCCTCCCCCCCGACGTCCAGCACCGCCACCTGCACCACGATGAGCGCCATGGAGATGCCATCGCTTACGGAGAAGGTGATGGCGTCATCCCGGGTGGCGAGGTTGGTGTGTCGATAGAGCAGAACGTTGAGTGTGATGTCGCTGAAGGTGAAGATGTCGCCTGAAGGGACAGAGAAGGTTTGTGACTGTGTGTTTCGACAGATGTGTTACTACTGAGTGTACTGTACATCGCAGGGTTTACTTTGTTTGATGGACTTTTATGGATAACTCCTGAGTTTAATGCGTAGCTACAGTGTGTTAAACAATCTGCCAGTCAAGATTTCAGAGAGTTCACGGACAACTTCATAATACAATAACAAGTACAAGTTTTAAACTCCTAAGAGAGACGCCATTTTAAAGGCAAATTTTTTTTTTCTATATTTGAGTCTTCACTTCATTTTGCATCCATGGTAATTAAACTCAAAACAACCAGGATATGATTAGAACAAGGTGTGGGCGTGTGCTGTTGAAAGTAGAGAAGTTGCCATAATATATGTTGAAGGTTCTGTAAACCTTGACTGAGAGATCTAATCATTAACATGTAGTTAAACAAATACACTTTTGAGGATATATTGATTATATAGTTAGAACATTAATGCATGTCTATATCTTGTATTGAGTGGTGTTTAGTAAACATGTGAATCTGGGTCTGAATGAGAGGACACCAGACCATGATGACCCAACTCTCCAAAGAACAGATTCAGAGTCAATAAGTGAATGATGTAAGGTAATATGTTTCACTGTATAAAGAGATTGTATTGGATATCTGATGCAAACGCCAACAATCATATGCTCCTGCCTCCAGCATCCTTCTTGAGATATCAAGAACAATATATAATGTAGGAAGAAAGAAAAACACGTACATGTTCATCACTGTTGGATATTGTTGAAATAAAGTTAAGACGATACATACAAACACATCTATGTCTAACCCTGCATTACTTGGATGTTGTAGGTATTAAAACGTTGGTGTTTGGAATAAAAAAATCATTAACGCCCTCCAGTTTTAGGAGTCTTTCTGAACAGCTGAAGGAAATACTCAAAGCAGATTCTTTCCCTGCATGATGTCTACTTTCTTCTGTGTGTTACAGCATGTGTGTTCATCATCTCACCGTTCGCCATGCTTGTGTGTGTGCCGCCATCGGTCTTAATCAGCTCTCCGTTGACGGGAGCCTCCACCAGCTCAAACTCCAGCTCATCAGGAGCCGTGTCGGCGTCGCTCACTTCCAGCTGCCGACCGCCTACGCACACACACACACACACACACACACACACACACACACACACACACACACACACACACACACACACACACACACACACACACACGAAGAAAGGAGCATTAAGAGAGATGAAGCAGGACAAGGACAAGATGAAGTGTCTGTACCAGACTGTAAACACAAACACAGATCTTTATTCAGGATTGTTGCTCATCAGGGTCGTACTTCAGACCTCATTACATCGCTGAGACCACTTCATCACTTACTGGACCTCTTCAACAAAGGAGGTCTTCTCGGAAATGTGTATTTTGTGTGTGTGTGTGTGTGTCATGGATGTATAAAGAGAACCGAATACAGCGTTGGGTCTTCCGGCTATTTTCCACAAGAACGGGGCCCATAGATGCACGCACAATTGTGTTCCTTAAGCCCCGCCTTCAATCCGCTCCGTCAGTGCATAATCACATCGGATCTTGGCTCAGTCAAATGAATGGAGAGGGGAAATAAATCTGCCTTATGATTTAAATAAGGGCTATGCAAGCGTTCGTGCTGTGAAGTACATTTTCCGTAAAAATGAAACCCTGATGTGCTGCGACTTTAAGAGGGTTGGCAGAGGGTTGCCTGTTTGGCTCTGTTTGTCTATATAAAGTCTATGGAAAACAACCGTTGTTTTTCTTCTGCTCATCCATTTTTCCCTACTGAACCCTGAGGACGTACATGTCTTCAAGTAGTCAGCTAGCTTCTTTTTTGTATTTACCTACAACAATTGTTGAAAAAAGCTGATCATTATGTGTAAAAACTTTAAAACAATGGCAATGCTAATCACGCTAGTATTTAGAGGGGAATTTTAATGCTGAGTTAGCATTAATGGTCAGCTGTATGCAATGTTTAAAAACCACATTTTGGCCAAGCTAGAAATCTTTCATACAAATACCTGATTTACAGAAGCCTCTTTCCTAATGTAAGTCAATGTGGGAAAAAAAGTATTGTTGGGTTGATTAAATGACAAAGAAGTTGTCGTGCCACAACAAAAATGTGCTTTAACGCCCGGCTCACTTCCCAAGGGCTGTGTGTGAGTGTGTGATTATGTTTGTGTAGTCGGGGGCCTAGGGGATTTTTTGGTTCAGATTCTCGCAAATTCGCCAAATTTGGTACAGATGTTGTCCACACCGTACTTAATCATTTTAAGATGGGTGCCAAGATTGGCGCCCCATGGTACTGCCATATTGCGCAATCCAATATGGCTGCCACCCGAAAAAAACGGAAAGTCATAGAATCATAAATAATACCACTTTTTAGGGGGTTTCTGGGTCGTAGAATCTGATTCTGGTGTTATTTTAATGATTTGAGGTCAATATTACCCCTCAAGGTCAAGTTTACTCATCAAAGTTAGTACATAAAGGTAATATTGGGGTAAAATCCGGTATTTCTGGTGCGCCATGCCAGATGCTACCCCCAAAAAGTTATTTTTTCCTATTATAAGTTGTAGTTGTATATATATCAATGTTTCACAACTCAAAACAGTAGATTGTTTATTATAAACAACAAACTAATACAAGTCCAACTTCAACAACAGTAAACAACAGTAGGGGACAATGTAATCAAAATAGTTACTCCGTAAAACTTGCTAAAATACAAAAAGTTAGAATCATCCTCGTCCCGGCAGTGCGATGTTGCCTCAGGCCGGACCCAACGAAGCGGGCATACCTGTCGCTACAACAGTAAAACCGTTAGGCGCAAAAAGCTCTCGGGAACCAGGATTGCCCGCCCGTCGAGACCCGACCGCAAGCCAATTACGGGCGAGCTTTTTTAGAGCGACTGAGATGGGTCTAAGGTACTGGTATGAATGAGACTACAGCCCAAAGGTAGTTCTCAGTACCGGTGATGGGGAGAGAAGTGGTCGAATTGTCCCCCACCCTGTGTCTGAAGGGCAAAGAACGCTACACCGTTCTTCTGTCGGGGGGACCCGCGGGAGCTGGCTCGGTATGGTCTCGGGTGGTTTGTGAATCCACGGGAGAGTGTTGATGGGGGACTGGAGAGAGCTCAGGAAGCGTCAGACACCGGGCGTCATCGTCTTTGTAACTTGGCTCGAACAGCGAGCCGGAGTGACACTGTCGGTTCCGCCGACACCACGTCGAGCCACAGTTACTCCGGGCGTCTGTACGGAAAGAAGGTGGTGACCTTCATCTAAGGGGACCTTTTTGGAGGGTGGGGATGGGTTCGACGTTGACAAGGTCGTAACCATGCGCCTTCGTCCATGACGTCGTCAAAGATGACCTTAGTCCGGTGGCGAGGGCGCAGGCGGTCCTTCTAAGGCTGAAGGTCCACGTCCGACCCGACGCCACGTTGCCTACCGTGAGCGGCGTGTACCCGGTGGTGACACGCTGTGAGGAGGAAAATTTTCGTTTTTTGTGACGTACGGGGTACCGTCGTCCGTACACTGGGTGGAAGAACGGACGCGACCGACCGACGCGAGGGTGCCCTACGGTTTGGGGGTCCCTTTTCACGTTTACCGGGGGTGACATAGCACCGACAGGCTACCCGTGGCTTAGGCAGACGGTTTACGCTCCCCCACGGAAGTATTACCTTCTACTGTCGGTCACGATTGAGGGGTGGAACGGGTGTCGCCCCCCTCGCCCCCGGCCGCTCCCTACCTCTGTGTGCTCTACCGTTCTCGCATGTCCCACTCGACTAT